GGATGCTCCTCACAGGGCTGGCTGAGAGTCCCCACTTAGGGTCGAGGGAAGCTGCTGCCAGCGCCCAGGGTTTTCAGGGAGTGAGGTGCTGGGGGTGAGGCAGTGACATGTGGGGAGATGGGGAAGAAAGAGGGTTGGGGAGCGGGTGGCTCTGAGGGGCAAAAGAGAGATGTGGGGAGGGAGAGAGGAGCAGGGGGCCCCAGCCCCAGGAGAAGCCGCACCACAGCCTGGCTCCAGCTTTGGGCAGCTGGGAAGCCACTTTGTGGCCCCAAGCACAGCTCCAGCCCTGGGGCAGGAGCTAGGGATGTGAAAGAGTAGTTGAGCCGACCACTCGCATTGCCCTCCTCCCCGGCTTTGCTGCCTCTATATTAGAGGCACTCACCTTCCAGAAGTGAGTGCTACTCCCCACATGTCACTGCAAAGGAGGTGGGTGGGCGAAGAATTTTTTTCTGCGCGGCTTGCACCTTAGTGGGAACTATGATCAGTGGTACTGGATTTGGGTGCAGTGTTCATTACTGACGTCATTTCAAAGGAACTTAAGTTCCTTACTTACATCCATACTTGTGGGAAGATCAACGCTGTGGCAGTCCCTCTTCCAGTGTTCGATGTAGCAGGGACTCCTGGCTGTTGCAAGGAGTAAGGGAAGCCGATGGGAGCGTTTCTACCATTGACCTCCTGCTGTGGGAATGGCACCAACATTCAACTTAAGGTTCTTCAACGTCAACTACATTATTTACATTGCTGAAATCTCACCTGTTTTTCCTCCAGATACACAAAGAGGCAAATTTCTCATCCATGTAGCGCCATGGAAGTAAAAGGGGTTTTACAGACAGAAACAGTATGATAGAGAGTAACATACAATGAGCAATCTTAAGGTTTTATGAACAAGTATAAAATAACAAATTCAGAGTCAATAACCAAAGTCTTGCCCTCTATGCCAAGTAAGAATTAATTTAAGATTGTGTGTATGAAAATCCTTGAGGCTAAGAAACTAGTATGTAAGGCCAAGTCAACACTAAAGGGGAAGGTTGAAATGAGTTATGTAACTCCAGCTACATTAATTACGTAGCTGGAGTCAGTGTACCTTAATTCGAGATTCTGCACAGTCTCCACAATAGGAGGCTGATGGAAGCAAATGATTCCCTTTACTCCTCGCAAGGAGCAGGAGTACTGACGCCAACATTGATGCCTGCTGAGTTGGATTTAGTGGGTCTTAGTAGACCCACTAAATCGAACTCCAGATGATCGATCACAGAAGCATTGATCTTCCCCATAGTGGAGACGTGGCTTAAGTGTAATAAGAAAGGCAAACAGGTTAACAAGGTATATAACACCAATTGTATGTGGCATAGGTGCGGGAACTCGGGGTGTGGGGGGTTGCTGCAGCACCCCCAGGTTCCTGGTCTAGCACCAAGGGGCTCTGCTGGCCCTGCATATCAGGGCTTTGCTCCCAGCCTCATCTGGGAGTGGTGGGGATGGACAATGGTAAGGGGGCTGGATTTGATTGTCCCCACTCTTAAAAATGTTCCGGGGCCATTAGAATGCAGTGATATTTCTGACTGTACAGAGCCTTGGCAATGAAGTGGCCACACTTCATTTTGAGTGTCTTTGCTTTCCTTAGGAACAATAACGTGTTTACTTTGGTGGGCATTTAAAATAAAATAAAACCACCCACAAGAGCTACTCTGAAAGTTCGGAAATTAAGATAAACTAGATCTTCAGAAAGAAGTACTTAGTGAAACAAGCAACATAGGGAATACCTTGCTAAATAAGGTCATCCGCACAAAAAGCATGAAAATCAGTTGGAGACGGAGGGGAAAACATGCTATTGAAGTATGCAGCACAAAAAGCAGTTGTTGAGAGAAGATAACCCTCAAGGGGACAGGCATGTTGGTCCAAGTGGTCTTTTCCTGTCCAGCAATTCTTTGTTCTTGTGTGAGAAAAGCAGGAAACTCCTACTGAGAATTAGAGAATTCAGACGAGACACAGATTACCCTTTAGCAATGCATTTTGAGGGTAAAACAACTTGATATTTTCACTTTTGCACTTTTGGGCATTTGAGAGACTAGATGATTTGAGAACAGAGGTGACAGAAATAGAACAGTGAAGCAGAGCAAAGCCTTCTGGTTGTTTGTATTGTATTGATGCCTTCGTATCTAGCAGTCCAAGTAAGGAGTTAGTTTATTTAGGGTTTTTTTGTATGTGAATATATATATATATATAACAAAATTAACACTGTTCTGATCCTTCGCAACTGTCATTTCACGTTCTGTAAATTAAGTGTTTCATATTAATATAAATATAGGGGAATGCTTTGAAGAATAAAAGAGCAAAAGATAGTCTCTGTTTTTCCAAGCTTTTCTCACGTTCTAAGGTATCGAACTTCAGTAGAGTACTCAGTAGGAAATCTTTGCAGCTACAGATTCTTCAGTGTGGCGTGTCCCACTTCTGTATGATTTGTGGGGGGCAAGTTCTGCTTCCTGCCCCCCTTGCCTGAAGGAGACTGTGACGTGATTGATTTTGGAAGGTGCAGGTCGTTTTATTCTTGCCCGCACTGCTACCATCTAGTCATGAAAACACAATGGAACATGCATGCAACAATTTTGGCCTCTTTTTTACACCCAGTTTCTTAGGCTTAACATATTTTTAATGAAGCTGCACAGCAAAGAGGGTTATGTTGGATTTTTTGTTTTAGTTTTGGGTTTTTTTGCATGTTATTGTAAGGGAAAATAAAAAGTCAACATAGTGAAGCTAAAAAGAAAAATCCCATTGCTAGGTACCCCAGACTAATGAGCTGGTAGCTTCCTCGGTTAGCCATAGGACAACCAGAAACAAGGGATGTAAAAGGGTAATTGTTTACCCGGTTAACTGATGAGCCTCAGCTTACCAGTTTCTGTTACAGTTACATGCTGGCTGCCCAGGAGCGGGGCCAGGATCCCAGGGAGCCAGCTTCATTGCAGGCTCTGCAGTCCAAGCCTGCCTGGGAGCAAGGCCAATGGCCTCTGCTTATATGTATAAGCCTCATACTGCAAAGCCCACAGTGCACTAGGATTTTTAGTTACACTGGGGTGGCCAACCCATTCTGGGCAAAGAGCCAAGAGAGCAGTGGATCCAGCGCGAAGAGCCAGGGCAATGTTGTCAAGCAAATAAAAAAAAACTGCCCCTTTAAAAGGAGCCCGTGGTCGCGTTTGGTCAAGTAAAAAAAAAAAAGCTGCCCCTTTAAGAAAACTCATTTAAACGTGTTTTGAGGCTTTTTGGCCACAGCAGGCTCCCACCGCCATCTTTAATTCTACATCTTTCATGGCCGCACCAGACGGCTCCCCTACCCAGGTCAGCACAGGGAGCCGAGAGGAGAGGCCCGTGTTTGGGGGCGCAGGGGAGGCTTACAAGCCACGGGAGGGAGCTTTGCGAGCCACACCCGGGGGGGAGGAGGGAGAAGAGCTGCATGCGGCTCATGAGCCTCGGGTTGGCCACGGCTGAGTTACACGGTTACATTTTTAATGGCGTTTTACATCCCTACCAAAACCCCGTCTTTGCACTGTAACAGAACTGGCTTGAGGCTTTGCTGGCATTGGTTGTGAATCTCTAGGTGCTGGAGTAGCAGGCATGAGGAATCCGTCATTTCACATTCCCCTATTGTATGCCTTGTTCACCCCTTTATTCACATTTGAGAAGGAGGTTGGCCACGTGATCTTTAGCCCTAATGGGGAATGATGACTGGAATGGCTTGTTCACACACGGTCTAAAACAGACGCCTTGT